CCTGGCGACCCCTTACTCCCACGCGCCATCCCTCAGCTCAACTGCACTCCGCGACCCCGCCCCCTCTGTCCAAGGAGACGGGGAGGCGGCTCTCGATGACCGCCAACAAGCTCTCGGCTTTGGTGTTGACGATGAAGGCTGGTGGACAGATCCGCGCGGACTCCGATTGACGAGTGTCCCGCTCTCTGTCCCCCCCCATCCCTCTCCCTCTCCCTCTCTCCCTCCCTCTCTCTCTCTCTCTCTCTCTCTCTCTCTCTCTCTCTCTCTCTCTCTCTCTCTCTCTCTCTCTCTCTCTCTCTCTCTCTCTCTCTCTCTCTCTCTCTCTCTCTCTCTCTCTCTCTCGCTCTCTCTCTCTCTCTCTCTCTCTCTCTCTCTCTCTCTCTCTCTCTCTCTCTCTCTCTCTCTCTCTCTCTCTCTCTCTCTCTCTCCTCTCTCTCTCTCTCTCTCTCCTCTCTTGCTCTATCCCCTCACTCCCCTCCCTCCTTCCCTCCTTCCCACCCCCGGCCCCTCTCTCTCTCCTCTCTCTCTCTCTCTCTCTCTCTCTCTCTCTCTCTCTCTCTCTCTCTCTCTCTCTCTCTCTCTCTCCCTCTCTCTCTCGATCCCCTTCATCCCTCATCCCCTATCGCTCTCCGTGCAGGCGGAGCGGCGCCCAACCGAATTGAATGATCCCCCACTCTTGTGCTTGACAACCTACTCTCGCATAGAGCTTCACGTGCACTACAGTCGCGTGGGTCGTCATCCCCTCGATTTCCATATGAGATGGCATTTCTGTCTCATCCAAAGCAATTTCAATGATGGCATGGTCCCACTTATCGCTGGGGGGCTGGAGCCTCTGCCTCTGCAGCTCAATGAAATGACACGCCGCGGCCTCCCGCACGCGCAGTACCTGCCCGTGCGAGCCGCGGTAGAACTGAGCGAACGAGCGAGCCGAGGAAACAGTCGGGGCAGTTGGCCGAGTCTTGCGAATCACCCTGGTCTTGCTCTTCAAGGGCGGGGGGCGCATGCCCCAGCAACAACGCTGACATGCTGACGGGAGCCAACATTGATATCTGCCGCGCCCCTTGACAACTGTCGGCCTCCTCTCGGTCGGGTCGATCGCGTCGCTCGGGCGGACGGCGAAAGCCGCGATCCGCGCTGGGCGGCCCCCAGTAATCGGTCGGCACCCCTATCCCACCCATCACTTCGGCTGCCGGTGGAGGGCAGGGGGAGGGGAGGGAGGGCGAGGGGACGGCAATGAAAGGGGGGAGGGCGGGGGAGGAGGGGCGGGCAAGGGGGCGGGGGGGAAAAGGGAGGAGAGGGGCGAGACAGAGGGTGGAGGGGGGGCCACGCCCACCCCTCCCAAGGCTGCGGCGGGGCGCGCGCCAGCGCGATGGTAGAGGCGTTGTGGTCCGCGATGCGCTCCTTCACGTGAGGCGCAAGCTCGGCTGGCCTGCCCTCGTTTCGCGCCCCCTGGATCATTCTCATGTGGCGGCACAACAAGTCGCCGCGCTGGCGGTAGCGCTCGCGGGGGAGGCCGCGCTGCAGCGCATCGATGATCTGCTGCACGTCGTCCGCCATCCGGGCGCCTCCGAGCGGGGGGCGCGCTCCGATGTGAGCGACGGGCTGGGAGTGGCGGACTGGGGCGGCATCGGGAAAGAAAAGGGCGGGTTGCGTTGACAGGCAGAGGGGCAGTCCAGGCGGCCAAGTGAGATGGAGGGCCGGGCGCGGGAGAGAGGGTAGATGAGGATTGGAGAAGAAGGCCCAGCAAATAGAGATGGCGACGAGAAAGAAGGGCGACTGGCAATGCAAAGGAAAGGAGTAGGAGCCTGGCTGCAGGGGCGCTCCCCGGCCGCCCCCGGGCGCCACCAGCGCAAATGGCTGCGTGGCGTTGCAACTCGGCGGCCCCCGCCCCCTCCCCCCTCCTCACTTCCTGCTTCATACCTCCGACCTGCGTGCACTCCTCTTCCGCCCCCTCCCCTATTATTATGTTTACCCATCCCTACCTCCGTTCTCGACCCCCTCCGCTCCTATCCAATCTGATTGATGATCCCTCTGGGAGGCCCCCGGGATCTCATATCTCATATCTCCTTCTTGGGGCCCCATGGGGGCCAATATTCTGGAGCCACTTGGATGACCCCGAGGGTTTAAGCTTGCCCTATTTGGGCGCCGCCTGGGAATGCTAGCTGACTCGCCGATGATTCGCTGATCACGTGCTCAAGGCCCTGGGAGGTCCCCGCGCTCTGCGCGTGGGCGGAGCGAATTGCAAGGGGCCGGGGGGGGAAGGCGGGGACAGGCAGGTGGGGGAGGAAGAGGAACCAGATCGGACGAGCGGGGATGGAGGGCGGCAAGGGGTGACAAATGATGGATGGGAGGGCGCGCCCAATGTGTTTCCGACACAGTCTGGAACTCGCTGGGGCGTCTTGAAAGCGTTCAATCAAGGATTACATGACTCTCGTGGCATATAACATCCGAGCTGGGCAATGGCAGAAACGCATTTACACCGTGACGCGCAAACTCCGAGGCCAACGCTCTCAGAAGATGTCAAATCGTGCCGCGTTAAATCTGCAGCGCCTTAGTTGCAATATGGCCGGGCCCTAGACATCTCAAACCAAACCTCAGATCTCAAGCTGGAACTCCCAAGATGCAAGAATCAAGATGGCTGATGCACTGATGCTCAACTCCCCGAACAACTCACCAGATCCACTATCAGTACGAGCCGAAAGGAGTAGGAGGCAATGAATCCTCCTGGCCCCCCCAAGCAAACGTGCCGTCGCGGCCGGGGACGAAGGAATCCTCGCCCAAGCCCGTGTCCTCCTGCTCCGATTCGTCGTCCACGGAGATCACGTGCTCGCCAGCCCCGCCGCTCGACGAGGCAGCGGCGCCCGATGAGGCAGCGCCGCTCGAACTGCCGCCGAGCAAACTGAAGCCAAGGTTCAACGGGACGAATGCGACAGGCGCGCTGTCCTGCAGAGTTGGCAAGGCTACACGCTGCCGCTTATGCCGGGGCGCCTGATACCAAACCGTGCTCATGGGGTGCTCTCCTGCGGCGTCGCCTGCATCGCCATCGAGACCATCGGGCTTTCCGACTGCATCGCCATCGAGACCATCGGGTTTTCCTTCGGCTGCAGGGGGCTCTGGGTGTTCATTGGGCTGAGCGGGCAGTCCTGCGACTTCTGGGGGCGGCGCACGCTTGCTCCTGATCTCGAGCACGAGTGGGATCGACAGGGCAACCCGCCTATAGAAACTTGGAGGCACACAACCCAACCTCAAGGTGACTTTCGTGCAGCGCCCTCCAGTCTCTTGCTCATCGACCCTGGCCGTCTCATGCCCGGCCATCTCCTGCCCCGGCGGCCAGATAGCAATGACTGTGAGACTGCGAAAAAATGATCTCGAGCCTACCAAACGGCCACGTGGAAGGAAAGGGGCCGCGCCCGAATGCCGCCACCCCCCCCCACTGGGGAGGCTGTATGGGTGTATGGGGAACAACTCGACTGTTGAGTAGGAGTGAGGGGCTCTCGGGACCATGTCAAAGGCCTCGCGGGGCTCGCCTCCCCCTCTCTCTCCCCCTCCTCCTCCTCCCCCTCTCCTGCCCTCTTTCCCATATATGGTTTAAGTTACTGTATTAGTATTACTGTATAACTACATGCAATATGCTCCATACGCTGCGCTGCTCCTCAGGAGGTACCCTAGCCCCAAACACAATTAGAAGACGCACTCCGCGTCTCGAAATCATGCACACAAGCTTGTTGCAGCATCCAAAATCTTAGCCGAACAAATATACTATTCAAAAAAACTGGCCTTCGTTTTAAACATCAAAAAACAACTCCAAATATCTGATCCCAAAAAAAGACAAGTTTGAATTTTGTTTTTAATAAGAAATCAGAATTTCAGAATTTGAAGCGAAACAAATCCGAATATCTTGTTTTTGTAAAGAAAAATCCGAACTTCGGAATTTGGGAAAAACAGAAAATCCGAACTTCGGAATCCCGAACTTCGGAATCCGAACTTCGGATTTTCGTAAATAATCAAAATCCGAATTCGTAGTTTTTTATTTAAATTAAAATCCGAACTTCGGAATCTGTTATATCTTATTTCCGAACATAGAAAAATGAACCTAAAAACCTCCTCCTCAAGAGCAATGACTGGAGCAATGATCTGTGATCCTGTCAAGTTATTGCTCTTCTTCTTAGTATCATCATTCGTATTAGCATTATCAATGTTATTAGTGCCATTATGACTGTATCTTTAAATTGCCTTTGATTGCTAGTATGATGAATGATTGCCAGTAGTAGTAGTAGTAGTAGTAGTAGTAGTAGTAGTAGTAGTAGTAGTAGTAATAGTAGTAATAGTAGTAGTAGTAGTAGTAATAATAATAGTAGTCGTCGTAGTCGTAGTAGTCGCAGTAGTAGTAGTAGTAGTAGTCGTAGTAGTAGTAGTAGTAGTAGTAGTAGTAGTCGTAGTAGTAGTAGTAGTAGTAGTAGTAGTAGTAGTAGTTAGTAGTAGTAGTAGTAGTAGTAGTAGTAGTATTAGTAGTAGTAGTAGTAGTAGTAGTAGTGGTCGTAGTAGTAGTAGAAGTAGTGGTCGTAGTCGTAGTCGTAGTAGTAGTAGTAGTAGTAGTAGTAGTAGTAGTAGTAGTAGTAGTAGTAGTAGTAGTAGTAGTAGTAGTAGTAGTAGTAGTAGTAGTAGTAGTAGTAGTAGTAGTAGTAGTAGTAGTAGTAGTAGTACCGTAGTAGTAGTAGTTAGTCTGTTATGAATATCCATACTGTCGAGAAAAAATCCACTATACAAGGCTAATATTACTAGTATTGTTATGATTATTCCTCCTCCTCCTCCTTCTCCTCCTCATTCCCCTCCTCCTCCTCCTCCACCTCCTCTGCCTCCGCATCCGCCTCTGCCTCTGCCTCCTCCTCCTCCTCCTCCTCCTCCTTCTCCTCCTCCCTCCTCCTCCCCTCCTCCTCCTCCTCCTCCTCCTCCTCCTCCTCCTCCTCCCTATCCCGCACTGCTGCCTTTTCACGTCGATCCTGGTTGGTCTGGCTCACCCACACCAGCTGCACGTCCTGGGAGAGGCGCCAGCTGCACACCGGCACCGAGCCTGGCCAGACCCCGCCTAACTGGGCCCCGGGCCAGTGCATATGCCGTTCCAGCCCGGCCAAAGGGCGCACGCGCCAACCGAACTGAACGACCTCATGCGTCGGCTTATGCGGGCCGCCACCGAGGCAAGCTACCAGCCGCTACATCGGAAATGAGGGCGCCTACGCGCGACCTCTGGGGCAGCTTACGCGCGAATGTCCGCACAGTAGAAGCCGGATTCTGCATCGCTCGACTGGCATTCGAGCGTATAGCTGGCACCCCGCCGCGTCCAGCGGGCTCTCGTTGACAAACTCCACCTCGACCCGCTCCTGGGGGGAGAGGGGGGGAGGGGGGGGGCCCACCGAAATCCGACACCGCACTTCCCCGAGCCTCTCCCGGAGTGGCAAACATCCATGCGGCAGGGGGACCGCCCGCCGCCCCCGCTGCAGAGCCCTCGGAACTCGCTCCCTCACCCCCCCCTCCCCTCCCCTCCCCTTCCCTTCCCTCCTTCCCTTCCGTTCCCTTCCTTTCCCTCCTCCCTCCCTCCCTCCCTCCCTCCCCTCCCTCCCTCCCCTCCCTCCCTCCTCCCTCTTGGAGGCCTTCACGGCGGAGGTCTTGACCCCGCACCCTCGCCCCCTGCCTCCCGTCCTCCCGGGGCGCGCTCCGACCAGGACTCCGAGGCGACTCCGGCCGTGGCGCCGAGGGCCCCCCAGGAGGGGCAAAGCCGCGCAGGCCAAGAAGAGAAGGCGTCGGTATCGAGTGCGTGCTCCTCGCCTGAGCCTCCTCGAGTATCGAGTCCGCTCTGCATCGGTCCCCGGGCCCCATCCCGGGTCCACCCCGACCAGCTGCCCGCTCCAGGTCGATCCTGGGGGCACCTGTGGACGATCCTGGGGCCCCCTTGGGCCGTTCGAGACGCTTCGTGGGCTGCCTGGGATCCCACCCCAGGGGCTGGACCCCCCTCCCTGGCGCGCGGAGCGCGCCAGGGGCGGCCCCGGAGGCGCTGCCAGGGGGTCCCAGCGCAGATCCAAGAAATCCGTGCGGAGCGCCCAAAGTGTATGTTTATGGCGTTGTTTCTTCTTCGATTGCGGTCAGGGATCTACTGACGGGTCAATCCAGACCCGGGTCAGCCGGGCCTTGCAGGATCCCGCAAGATCCTGCAGGATCCTGCATCCAAGCCCGGGTCAGTGCACCCCTGGCCCTGCTGGATCCTGCAAAATCTGGCGCTCTGACTGAGCCCCCCGTTTGCATTGACCCCCGTCTCTTGAGCCCCGATTCGGGCCACGACTCGGTCATACGGCGGCCGTTCGGGACGATCCGAGCACCCCCAGAAGGCCCTCCGCGAGGCGCAGCTCCTGGCAAGCACCCCGAGGTGAGAGAGCCTCCCCAGGGAGCACAAAACCCCTAACTGCCCAGACCCGTCCCTAAGATCCGACAGCGAAGGAACATTGAAACGTCGGAAACAAAAAAAAAAAAACTGGCGAAGACCCCAACCATATGCAGCTGTGAGTACCGCAATAGTGAACATCTTCTTCGGTGCGGCGCCGCCATGCCAACGCAGCCACTGGGGGCTTCGGTGGAGCTCCCTATGGGGCCACGAAGCGTGTGAGGGGTGTGCCGAAATGGGTGCGGCGCCGCCATGCGAACGCAGCCACTGGGACCTTCGGTGGAGCTCCCTATGAGGCCACGAAGCGTGTGAGGGGTGTGCCGAAATGGGTGCGGCGCCGCCATGCGAACGCAGCCACTGGGGCCTTCGGTGGAGCTCCCTATGGGGCCACGAAACGTGTGAGGGGTGTGCCGAAATGGGTGCGGTGACGAGGGAGGGGGCAGCGGGAGGAAGGAAGGAAGGAAGGAAGGAGAGGAGACGCGGGGCACCGTCTCTTCAAAACGAGGACCCAACACCACAGGATGGTTGGGAAAAACGAAACAGACAAACAAAAAACGACCGGAGCGGAGCCCCGAACCCCATCTCTCTGGGCGATTTCTCGAGCCAAATCGATCCGCCGTGAGGGTCCCAAGGCCCGAAGTGGGGCGAGAACGCCTGGCTCGAAAAGACATTGAGATGCCGGGATCTCGGAGGCTCCCCGCCGACGATCATTGGGCGCCCGACATGTGTTCGGAAAACAGGGGCACGATGCCCGACAGCAAGCGCTGTCCAGGACCGCCAGCGGCCGCTGCTGGGCAGGCGGCCTCCTGCCACAGGTGGACAGCGCCGCGCCCGCGGCAGCGCCGACAGCGAGCCCTGCTCAGCCTGGACAGGAGCTGCCGTCGGTCCTCCTCCCCAGCCGACCAGCCACAACTGCGGGAGCTGTGGTCCTGACCCCCCTGGGGGGAACCCGTCGCATCGACGATCTCTCGAGAGGGGTGCCGAGATCGATGGGTCCCCCAGGGGGGTCAGGACCACAGCTCCCCCAGCTGTGGCTGGTCTCCCCAGTCTCTCCGCACCCGTGTTGGCCGTGCCGAGCCCACGGGCCTCCGCGCCCTCGCCGGCCGGCCAGGAGCTCTTCTCGTTCGTCTCGCCCGGGCACGGCCCCAGGGGCGCCGCCGCCGGCGTGCCCGCGCCGCTCGCCGCGGGCAGCGCGAGCGCCAGCACCGCCTGCCGGGGGGGGGGCGCGGCTTCGAGCAGGACCAGGGACGGCTCCCTCCCCCGACAGTGCCCTGACATCCTCGCGCCGTGGAGGGAGCAAGTAATGGCATCAGTCCGCGCGGACCTCCGAAGGGGTCCCGTGTTCATGCCAGTGCCTGTTCCTCGAAAAGCAGACCACGACGGGCACGCTTCCCTCAAGACCCGTTCGCTCCGTGGCGAGGTCATGCGTTTGGCCTCTTGGACCACCGACCCTGGCATCCACCGCCATGGCGTGTTTCCCATCCGCGGCCCCCGAGCTTCCGACCCCTTCCCTGGATGTCGTCTTTCGCTACGGAGTGGTTGATAGCCCTGGGGCTCGAAGACCGGCCCTGGAGGCGGAAATCGAGGAAAAACAAAGGCACTGAAGACAAGCACGACTGCCGGGAAACAATTGTTGTATGATTTCTGGTAACGGTCGTTCTCGGGGGGCAGAGGGCGGTTGGAGCCCCGGGTAACGGTGACGCTTGGGCGGGATGGGTGCACGTCGGGGCGGGGGGGGCGCTGCGATCGCAACGGCGTGCGCGCAAGCACCAGCATGTGGGGGGGAGGTCCAGCCCCACCCTGCCGCCTCTGCGTACGATGGTTACCATCACAGGAGGGGCGGTGGGTGTGGGGGTGCCAGGTAGCGAACGTTACGCGCCAGATGACAAAAATAAAACCAAAAGCGTCCCCAGACATCCAGCGTCTCGATGTTCGGGAGGCACGGGCCATCGAACTCTCTCACCACTTCCCCAGGACCTGTTTTTCATCCCGAGTTGAATTCTCACAGCCCCGAGGCCCGGGAAGAGCCCCTCGGGGCCGAAAACGCTGAAAAAACGCCGTCCCCACTTTTTCGAGACGCCCGACCCTGATCATTGGATACTGGAATTTTCCAGTCGCGACCGACGAGATCGGTCGCTACCGATTTTGCTCCAAATCTTGGGATCGGTCGCGACCGACTTTGGAATCGGTCTCGATCGGTCGCGACCGACGTGGAATGCCGATCGCTCGCCACCGATCGCGACCGAAGAAATCTGGTATCCAATGATATGGGGATGTCTGGGTCCAGAGGTCTGGGGAGGCCAGCCGCTGTAGTTGAAGGTGACAGGCTACCGCTGGCCTGGACACCCTCGGCCGCAGGACGAGAAAAGTAGTAAAGGGTGAGGAAGAAACCGGCCAAGTGTCGCCTACAGTGGAGACCCATACCAAGAAACACCCTGCTTGCCTCCAGGGTGCCCTGGGCTTCTTAGGTTTCGATGGTTCTGCTACGGAAAGCGTGACGTTCACACACCAAAACCCAATGGGCGTCCTGGCGTCTCAGGGTCGGGTTTCTTGTGGAAGGTTTCCCGTGGTCGAGCTCCTACTGTAAGGCCACTGCCGGCAGGAGTCAAGAACAGCTGGACGACCTCCAATCGGCGGGAACGAAAGAAGAGAATAGCAGATAGCAAAGGGTAGGGTAGAGAATCAGCTCACGTAGCCGATTTTCCCGGCGCCTCCCGGCGCCGGAAGGCGCCCGTGCATCGAGGAATGAGCCTGGCGGCGGGGCCGAAGCCAGCCAGCTGCATGCAGCAGATTGCGTCACCCCCTCCCTTCCCCATCCCCCCCCCTTCCGTTCGGCCCGATCCTTCCCCCCCTTCCCTTATCCCCCCCCCCTTCCCTTCGGCCCGATCCCCCCCCCCCCCTTCCCCTATCCCCCCCCCCCTTCCCTTCGCCCGATCCCCCCCCCCTTCCCCTGTCCCCCCCCCCCTTCCATTCGGCCCGATCCAGAGGCTGGCCGTGGCTTCCCCGCCCCGCCCCGCCCGCGACCACGCCGCCAGGGCCGCACGGGCGCGGGCAGGGCCGCACGCAGCCCCCGGGCGCTGCGGCGCTCCCGCCATCCCCGCGCGCTCGGCGGGGGCGGCCCGCGCGGGGCCCCCGCGGCGCGTCGCCCCTCGAGCGGCGAAAGCCCGCGAGGCTGGTTCCTGGAGAGATGCGGGATCTCCAGGCCCGGGTCAATCCAGACCCGGGTCAGTCAGGCCCTGCAGAATCCTGCAGGATCTTGCACCCCAGACCCGGGTCAACGCGAAGGGTCCTGCAAGATCCTGCAGGATCCTGCGCCCAAACCCGGGTCAGTGCCCCCCTGGCCCTGCAGTATCCTGCAAGATCGACCGCTCTGGCTGACCACCCTTTGCATTGACCCCCATCTCAAGGCTCCCGAAAGATTCGGGATGGAGGCTTTCCAGCTTTCTGAACCTCCTGGGGCACTCACGGGGCCTCGGGGCTGTCAAGCAACGGCTCGGGATGGAAAACCGGTCCCGGGGAAATGGTCGAGAATTAGCGGGCCCGCGTAGTCGGGACGCCGGGTGTCTGGGTCCGGCGGCGCTGGTGCCGAGGCGGAGGACCCCAAATCTCCGGCGACGTTCGGAGACGGAAGGGGGTATCCACACCGCCAACCGCCCACCCCGCACGGGCGCCTGCTCGCGGTCGCCGTCGCGCCCGCCAGCGTTCGGCCTCGAGAGACGAAGGTAAACGCATCGGGCCGGGAGGTTGGAACGTCGAGGTTCCCAGGCAGCTTCTCTTACGCCCTTCGCCTGTTCCGGTCCTCTGGGGGGCTTCTCGTCGCCACGGCTGGATCCGCCTCGAAATTCAAGCCAGAACACACCCTGGAGCAGGTCCGGGGGGCGAAAAACAACGGAATTCACATAAGCTGTAAAAGCATAAGCAAGATAAACATAAAACGGGATAAAGATAAACTAAACTTTTGGCGCTCCGCGCGAATTTCCTGGATCTGCGCCAGGGACGGGGGTCCAGCGCGGATCCAAGAAATCCGCGCGGAACGCCCAACAATTTTGTTGTACGTCGTTTTTTCTCCTTCGATGCTCTGAGTCTTTCCTCCCTCGGACCGAACTTGGAACACCATGTGGGACATGGTCCAGAACAAGAACATACCGTAGACGGATCTACCCTTTCTCCGACCTTGCACCGCGCCGAACGCAACGACCACGTTGTCCATAGACGTATCCACCGCGAGAGCGTCTATTGGGTGAATCTTTCCTGGCCTATGCCAAAACGGCTTGATCTAACATGGTCACGGAGGACTGGCCTGCATATCCAACCAGCCCTCCCGGCGGCTGGCACCTCTCGCGCGCCCGGCAGCCGCTCGCTCTGGTAGCCCCCACTACCCGAAGCCTCGCACACGAATGCTCGGCCGGGGAGCTGTCCCCGCGCCGTCTGGGCTCCCAAGGCCCAGTGGACCACAAAAGGTAGCGGAGCATGGCGATCCACGGGAGAATTGGCTCAAGCTGTGGACCCCAGCGCCGCCTTGAGGGCCAGCCTGCTCGCTCCGCTCATCTGGACGAAACCTAGGCTGGCGAGAAACCGGGCGATCAACGCCGCCTCCACACGCTTGGTGCCCAGGTCCGCGCTGTCGGCAGCACCTGGCACCTTCCTGACATTCACGAGGCCACGCTGTACAGCCCTCTGGATCCAAAGGAGGAGCGTGCGCAGATGGCGAATGCGCCCTACGCCACGACGCTCCGCGATACCTTTGCCCGCGGTGGCGTCGCAGCACAGCTCCACGTCTATGTTGCCGTAGCCGTAGTCCTCTAGCAGGACGCGGAAGTCGAGCCCCGCCGAGGCCCCCTCGACCAGGGCGTGGAACTCAGCCCCCCGTGTCGCGAGGCTCTGCACCTGCTGCGTCGTCGACGAAGACTTGATCCAGTGCGAGCCGAACAACACGCTCATGGCCGAGGTCGACTTCCTCGTCCGCGTGCAGCCCGCGAAGTCACTGTCCGTGAAGATGCTCAGCTTCCTCGGCGGCGGCTGTCTGGCATACGTCGCCACCAGCCGAGGAGCACCCAGCAGGTAGCGCCCCATCCTCTTGAGCGCCTCCCAGCCTCCGACCGTCGGCGCCTGCATCACACGCGCCGCCTCCTTCGCGCTGAACTGCAGGTCGGGCCTGTCCAGCGCGAGGTAGGCCAGCCTCATGCACACTGACCTGTACATCTCGCGCTCGCGCCCCGTCAGCTCCTCACCGCCCAGCGTGTCCTTCTCGACTCCAGGCGCGCCGACGGGCATGCTCTTGCTGTCGAGCCAGAGCTGCGCCAGCACGATCTCCACATGTCGAGGGTCTTCCTCGTGCTCGACGCGGTCGGGCGAGACCCCGTCGCCTGGCACCCACCGCAGGATGCGGTTGGGCACCACGATCTCCTTCACGTCGCCCTCGCTCGCCTCCGGGCCCAGGATGCCGCGGCACTTAACGATCAAGTGCCTGCCCGGGCCCGCCTCGAAGTTCCTCGCCCCCGAGCGCCCACCGAAGACGACGAAGTCGTCGCCGCGGCGCCACACCACCAGCGACCCCAGCCTGCAGACGCACGGGCTGAACTGCCCCTGCCGCGCCCAAAGCTCCTCCATGACCTTCTCCACCTTCAGGTCGACAGCCGCGCCAGCGCCCCGCAGCCCGCACATGGCATTCAGCAGGAGCCAGCACTCATCCTCTCCGCACTTCTCGTCCTCTGCTGGCGCCTTCAGGTAGACGCGCCGCAGGAGCTCCGAGTGCAGGCGGGCCCTGGATATTCCCAGGAACATGAGAATCTTGCCCTCCGAGGCTAGCCACGACATGGCCAGGGAGAGCAGCAGCCGCAGCCCCTCGAGCGGCGGCGCGGCCGCGAAGGTCTGCGCTGCATCCTCAGGGCCCAGCGCGCTGACCGCGTCTCCTTCGCGACGAGCCTGCTGCGGATCTCCGGCCAGCGCTGGTCGCCCGTGTTCGTGTCGACCCAGCCGCTGGGCAGCGGCCGAGCCCCTGCGGCCTCATGGCACTCGCTCGTCGGCACCCGCCAGAAGACGCCCAACCTCTCCATGTAGGCCATCTCATCAGCTCGCGCCGCGCGCACCATCTTCGGGTCCAGCCGCGCGCCCGAAATGCCGTCGAAGAACTCCTCGAGCTCCTCTGGCGTCGCCGCCTCGATGGCCTCCGGCTCCTCGATCGCCACGCCGACCTCGAACGCGTGGAGCCCACGCCCGGTCTCCAGCTGCTCGCGCATGCCAGACAAGATGGCCTTGACCAGCGGGATCGGGTACCGCTCGGCCGCCTTGCTCCTGCCTCCGACCAGGTGCACGTGCCGGTGATCCTTGGCGCACAGGACCCCCACGCGCTTCGCGATGGCCGGGCAGTTCGTCATCCAGCCCGTCGCCTTCGCCACCGGCCCGACGACCCCGTCTGGCCCCTTCGAGGTCTGCCCGAAGCCACACTGGTGGCCCTTCACCACCACGACGCCCTCCAGCAGCCGCACCTTCTCGACGATCTTGAGATGCCAGCTCCAGGCCGTTCACGGATGCTCGCACAAGAAGTACCGGCCCTCGCACTGCTGGAGTGCGCAGATCTCCATCACAAACTCGAGGTAGACGACGCAGCGCCTTAGCAGCGCCTGGTACCGCTCCTCGTCGCGCACCTTCTCGCCCATCTTCAGGATCAGCGAGAATGGCGTGCACACGGGGCTCGCCACCACGAACATGGGCTTGCTCTCCGTGATCTCCTGCATCGCCAGCTCGCGCTGGCTCTTGTCGTCGAAGTCCCAGCCGGTCCGCAGGTACATGACGATCTCCTGCTTCAGGTCGAAGCACGGCACCAGCCTGCAGATATCGCCTGGGTTGAACACCTCCCTGATGTCACCCTCGAAGGCTCCCAGCTGCATCAGCAAGGTGCCTATCTGCCTGGCGCCCGCGATCGTCAGCTGGCCCACCCCCATGCTCCGCGGGGCCGCCGCCGCCGCCGCGGCGCCGCCCGACCCTGAGGAAGCGCTCGGGCTGGGCTTGGCGCCGGGGCCTGACCCTGAGCCGTCTGCACTGGCTCCTGGCGGCGGGCTGCCTCTGGCCCTCTTGGCCTCAGGAGCCGCCTGGTCCTCCGCCGAGGGGAGTGCCCTCCTGGCCCTCGCACCCTCGACTCTCAGACCCATGTCCGATGCCATCGCCTCTTAAATACGCCTCCGGCACTCCTCTGAGCGCGCCTGAGCGCGCCGCCCGTGGGCCGCCGACATGCAGCCGTGGCATCCCTGTGTATCCGTACCTCTGCAGCTTGACGTCGCGCCTCAGATAGACGCGCCTCGGCGCTCCTGGCACTGCCGGCGCCGGCACCTCCGGCAGCTGCGCGTCGGGCGCCACCTGGTCCGCCACGATCTTCACGTGCGCCGGCGGCGCCGCCAGGCCGCCGCCCCCGTCGAGGGCGCGGCTGCCCTCGATGCCTCCAGGGACCCGGCCCCAAGGCACCCCGCGCATCTCGGCCAGCAGCACCTTGTCCGACCTGCTGGGCCCCAGGAGGCGCCCCACGCTGCGGGCCCGAAGACACCCTTCGGCGCGCCGATGCACACCTCGTCGGCGCCCTCCACAACCCCGAGGAAGATGCCCTCCAGCCACCTGCCCACCAGCCGCGACGCCCTCTTGCCCGCAGGCAAGTAAAAGACCTTCTCCGAGAAGGCCGGCAGTGGCTTCTTGAACGCCCTACCCTTCAGCAGCTCGCACGGCGTCCTGCCGTCGGCAGCCCGTTGGCCTCGGCCCAGCATCGCCCCAGCGTGCTGCACCAGCCAGGGCAGAACGGGATGACGCTGCCCGAACACCGCCCCGCGCAGCTCCTCTGCCGCGCGCCGCAGCGTGCGCGCGAGACCCTCGACGTCTCGCACCGCTCTTTCTGCGAGCCCATTGCTCCGGGACTCGCCCACGGCGGACTCCTCAGTCATGACCGTGACGCCCCTCCTTGAGCCGCACCACTGCTGCAGCCTTCAGGGCCAGGATGGGCTTCTCCTGGTCCGACCTGAAGTGCATCTTCGCGCGGCCCATCTGCGCACAGAGCCGCGCCAACGTCTCCACGTTGAGGGGGGGGCGCCAGCCCCTTGCCCGACAGCACCTCGCTCGAAGTCCATCGATCGCCGAGTCTCGCACCACCCGGATCGGCGAGGAGCCGTCCTCGCTGTCCTCGTTGCCGCCCAAGTACGCGTTGTCCAGCGCGATGATGGGCGCTCCGTCCTCCGCACGGTCGCACGGCTCACGCGGGGCCGGGCGTCCGCGGCCCGCCACGCAGTGACGGCACCACGCCCGGAAGGGGACATGGCTCACCTCGTGATCCATCTCCTCCTGCCCCGTGGGCCCCCACGGTCCCCTCGCAGCCCTGACCACTGGGGCCTCCGCCTCGCTCTCGCCGCCCTCGCCCGGCTGCGCCGGCGGGAGCAGCTCACCGCAGGGGTCCTCGACGACTGGAAGGGGCTCATCGCCCCCGCCTCCACGCAACTGGCAGATCTCACTGCCCTCCGCGAGGGCCAGGCTTACAGCGGCCAGGCCTGCCGGGTTGAAACCCCGACGGCCCCTGGCCCAGCACCCCGCGCGCCTCGCGCACGGGTGGGCGTCCAACTCCACCTCGTACACGTTGTTGCGCCTCGCGAAATTGATCTCCAGCCCTGTGCTCTCGTTCCTCGCGAAGCTCCGCTCGCGGCCGAAGACGATCGCGCGCCCGGCATCGACAACCTCCGAGACTGAGGCCAGCCCCTTTGTCACGGGGGGCCACCCTCGCCTCGATGCCCGTGACCACGCGCGCGCCGCCCGCGGTGGCGATCTCGCCCACGAGCTCGCGCGTGCCACAGTCGGGGGCCCAGCCACCGTCAGCCGCGCGGCATCCCTCGCCCTTCCTGCTCATCTCGTTTTCCACCAACGGGTAACTAGTCAGCGAAGCTCTCCTTGGGCATCACCGTCGTCGCCGCGCCAGAGTCGACGCCCATCACGAGCTTCCGAGGGCCGCGCGCGACCGCTCCCAGCTCCAGCAGCTTGCCGAAGAGCTCCTCGCTGGCGATCCCGCTGTCCAGCAGCAGGTCGCAGGCCCCCTGCACCGCGTTGCCCTTGTCCAAGGCGTTGAGGAAGAGCCCGCGGATGGCCATTCTCAGGCTCTCGCGGCCCCCCTCGACCGCGGCGACCTCGCGCTGCTCGCAGTCCTTCGCGACGTGGCCCAGCTGGTTGCACTTGTAGCACTTGCGCTGCGCCGAGCCACGCCCCGCGCCAGCGCCGCCGCCTGAGCCTCCACTGCCGCCGCGGCCTCCTCTGCCGCCCCCTTGCCGCCGTTGCCCTTGCCTCTGCTGCCGCCGCCGCGACCACCCTTGCCCTCGTCGGTGAACCGGCAGTCCTTCTTGGCGCGCCACTGGCGGCCGCAGTTGCGGCATGGGCCGACTGAATGGTGAGGCTGAGGGTAGCCGTGGCCACGTTCCATCTCGCCACCCTTGCCTCCGCCCTTTCCCCCGAAACCTCCGAGCTCCATCGGCATCGGTCCTCCAGAAATCGCCGCCGCTGCTGCCTGGGCGCGGCGCACATTCACTATCTCCTCTCGGAACTGCACCCACTGCTCGAGCCTCTCTGCGTTTAGGATCATGCGCTGCTTCAGCGGGCTGTCCAGCAACCCCTGCAGCACGATCCCGATCTTGATGGCGTTGCTCAGCTGCTCGCCCGTCTGGCCCTCGAAGAGCGAGACCTCGCGCTCGAAGGCCTCCATCCTCGTGAGGAGCTCCCCACTGAAGTCCCAGTTGAGCAACTGCATCAAGAGGCCCGCATATATCGTGCACACCTGGGGCTCGTAGCAATGGTTCAGCTGCCGCCAAGCCTCCAGGCCCACCAGCGCGCCCGAGTTCAGCACCACGTCGAGCGCTTGAGCCCGGCACGTCTGCACCAGCCAGTAGTGGAGCTGGCGGCTGATCTCTACGTCGTCGCCCTCCAAGGTCGCGTTGAGCACGGGCGCACCCGCCCTCGCCGCTCGTTGGAGCGCATCTGCCATGCGAAGGTTGGTCGCGCCCACGTACGCCGCGAAGACCACCGACCAGTCCGGCCACCTCGTGCCGTCGAAATGCTCTGGCTTGCCAATTGTCCTGACCTCTGCGGCCCAGCGCTCCGCCGCCGGGACCGCGCTCTCTCGCTGTGCGGGAGCCGCCGCCCGCGCCTCGTCTGCCGCTTGCCGCGCCTGCGCGGCCTCGCCGCGCGCCGCGATGAGCTCCTGCTGCATCGCGTGCATATGCGCCTGCAGGTCCCTCAGAACCTGCTCCGGCATCACTGCCGCAGGCGCTCAGCGCGGCTGGGCCGCCCTCCACGCACCCTGAGCTCGTTCAGGTGGTGGCCGAGCACTGCCCAGATCCTCCTCAGCCGCGCGATTCGCCTGAGCCTCCGTGCGAAGCTGGCCCAGGCCGTGATCAGCGCCCCCTGGCGCAGCTCGAGATTTTCCTGGCACGGTCGCTCTGCAGCAACCTCGGCACGTCGGCAGCACAGCGAGAGCCGCCGCTGCGCTACCATGGATGAATTTGTTCTGGCCTATGCCAAAACGGCTTGATCCAACATGGTCACGGAGGACTGGCCTGCATATCCAACCATCTATGGACGTCATGGCACCCAGTGTGTCCATGGACGCCTTGGCCTGGGACGTGAGAAGGGTATGCGGCATCGGCCCCAGCTGTTGGCCTTCTGGAAGCAGGTAGGCTTGGCCCTCCAAGACTGCACGCCTGCGCTGGGGTCGCCGCCGGGCCGACACGGGCGCGGCCCGCAGCGGGGGCGGTCTCGCGCGCAGGGGCCCCGCGTGCCGTGGATCGCCGCGGCCCTGCTGGCCCCCCCCCACCCTGCCCCGGGCGGCGGCTGCGCAGGGGAGGGTTTTGACGGTCCTCTGGGTCCTCGACCTCCTCCTCCTCCTCCTCCTCCTCCTCCTCCTCCTCCTCCTCCTCCTCCTCCTCCTCCTCCTCCTCCTCCCTCCTCCTCCTCCTCCTCCTCCTCCTCCTTCCTCCTCCAACTCCTCCTCCTCCTCCTCCTCCTCCTCCAACTCCTCCTCCTCCTCCTCCTCCTCCTCCTCCTCCTCCTCCT